GATTGTGAATTTAGGATGTGTGCAAGTTTTAATAGCTTAAAAGTACAAATGTGAATTAACATGATCCCATTAACCAGCAAATGCAATTAACCATGTGTAACACCGAGTTTATACAAGTTTAAGTGTTCCAGCTAGAATAAGTATTTTCTCTGTTACAGAATTAGGGGGTTTTGTGATGCAGATATGATGATTCACAATACCTTTTCTAATAGGGGTAAACTACCTAATAGGGATAAAATGCTGGTATCATCTATCAGTAGTGGTAGAGTTTACCAGTATTTTTGCTTACTTTACTAATGTCTACATGAAGGAAAATGTGCAATTCTAACTTGGTCACTTTAGAAATAGGTGAGCTAAAATAGTTTAAAAAATGTTGACTATCCATTGAGGAGGTAAAACCTGTTATTTCACTTTTCCAACTTATTTAACTCTAAAACAAGATTGTGGCACTTCGAGTAGCCAGTTTTCTCAGAGAATTTCAGTACCTGATTTGTAGATAATCAACAACCATTTGTTTCTCAACCAAATGGTACAGTTAAACTAGAAAAATTAACTACTCCATCTGGTCTAAATTCCTTTCTCAATCTTTCTCTAAACCTATTGATGTATGTAGGGTATCTGCTTTTGATCAAACATAACATTTTACCCAAACTCCACAAAGTCAGCCTGAAGACCATAATTAGAAATGTGATTAGGTCTCTTCATAAAATGTTTGACACCTCTACTAGAATGTATTTAACAGCTGATCCTTTAAAAAAAAAAAAACAGGAAAAACATCTTATTTCTACTTACCTGTTTTATCTGAAACACATTCCCTGGGCGTGCTGGTGCAATATATATTTAGGGAAATTGTAATCTTGCAAAGGGAGAGGAATTGGAGGGAGTGGAGGAACATGTAGGACAGAAAAAAATAAAATCGTGAATGTTCTCAGACCCAAGTATTTTGTGATGGAAACTGGCCATACAGTTATCTTATTTTGAAAAAAAATGACACTATGAACTTGTTGTAAAAAAAAATGCATGTAGGGGCAAGTAAGATTTTTGACTGGGTTTGTTTCACTTTCCATCAGTGAATTTCTGTGGTAGACTGATACAAGAAGGTGTGAGCAGTGGTGGGACTGCATGTGTGTGTCATTAGAGGAATGGTCACCAGCGGCTCCCTGTAGGGTGGGGCGAAGTACAGATGGAAGAGGAGAGAAGTTCTTACTTGCACAGCCAGGAGCTATATTACAAGGACAGCGGGTTTTTTTTTTTCTGCTCTATTATCAATGCATGCAGTGGGGAAACTTTTGCCTTTTTTCTAAGGCATCCTCAGGCACAGCATGCTGTCACCTAACATGCCATGGTGGTTTCTCCTTTCTTGGAAAAAATGGTGACTCAAAGGTCCCTATTCAGATAGTTATTTATTTAATAACTCAGCAGTGGCAGATCTGTAGTCTCTCCTGCTCTGAGTACTCTCTTCTCTATTTACCATTTAGAATGGGAAAGTGATGTTGAAAGAGTCGGGCCCCCCCCCCTTTTTTTTTTTTTTTATTATAGAATGTTCTAAAACCTTTTCTGGGGCAAAGAGAGTAGGTGAGCACGTGATTAAATCTGAGCTCTGACTAGGAGAGCTGGGCTCCAGGCATTGGCAAGCACCCTAACCAGTAGGCTAAATCTGGTTCCTTCCTTCTCCCTCCCTCTGGCATGGTGCATTCTTATGAAAAGTGAAATGCCTTTAAAGGAGGGAGTGGAGATTTTCCCCCACATAAGAACAGCCCAGTAATCAGGAACCCTATGAATTTGAAGCCTTTTAGATCTGGGAATTGATATTTATTCCTCTGCCTCAAGACAAGAACTTCAAGCAAAAAGTGCAGTAGATGATGGCAGCAGCTGAACTTTCCCCATAGGAGAAAACTCATCTCCACCAAGAGACTATTAAGGACTGTGAAATTGCACAAGAGGGGCGACACTTGGCTCCCCGAAGGTAGATTAGCTGTGTTTGAGAATTTGGGCTGCGCTTTACAAACTTCAGTTAAACTGAAATATTATATTGCAGCTGCAGGTTTAGGTCTTGTGATGCCTGAAAGGGTTTAAGAATGGGATCACTTCCCTTGCTCAGACTGTGGCTATATGTCCCAGTTCCAGCTCAACCGACCCCTCTACACCCATGGCAGCAGCTGAACTGCAGAGGCGGCATTTCCCGAGCAGGGTACCTGGTCTCGAAAAAGCCGAGTGGCTGAAAACAGCCCTTCTCCACGAGGGTCAGGCATTTCCTTGCCTGGTCCTGTCGGCAGAGCCCCGAGGTGGCTGCTGCTGGGGCAGGGGGGCAGCGCTTCCCCGTCGCATCACCTCGAGAAGGAATATGGGGAGCAGGGAGGTGCTCTGGCCTGTCTCTGGACCCCGTCTCAGCCGAGAGGCAGAGCGCTAGGGGGAAGGGACGGGACCCCTTTCTGAGGCGCCTGCTCAGAGTCCCGGGGGCCGACCCCAGCGCAGCGGGGGTGAGCCCTGGGCCGCGCCGCGTCCGGGTGCCCGCCTGCCGCCCGCAGGAGTTGGGAGCAGGCAGGGCGTAGGTCCCGGCCTTCTTCTGTCCTTCCCCTCCTCCTACCGGTATAAATAACGATGGTATTCACTAGCAACTGATGCGTTTACCTTTGCAAAACCTCTTAGTGAGTAGCAGCTTACGTGTGTAAAAGGCTGGGCAGCCAAGGATTGGGTAGAAACCCCGAACCTATTGTAATCTGAAGGATGGGTTCCTAATTACCAGCATTCTGCTGTCCTACCCAAACCGGTCAACTCTACATGTCTTCTGTGAGCTGCAGCAATGATCCCTATTTATTTTACAAGACTCTCGCGTCACTGAAGTACCTTCAGGTGAATCCGTAGGACCCGCGGGCAGAGAAGACGCTTCCGTTAGGTTCCGCTAACGACTTGCAAATGGCAACGTGAGGGTGCGCCCCGCTGAGGGATCTGTGGCCGAGGGCTTCGGCTGCGCAGCCCGGGAGCGGCGTGGGGCGGTGGGAGAGCGCCCCAAACACTCTGCCTTTAAAGCTTTTAAATAATGATCACGGGGTTGGCGTGACAGGTGAAAGAACTGGGAATTAGCTGATATGAAGTGAGAAATCATTCATCTGTTTAATGCTGGTTGTGTCCAGTTTTCTTAAGGTGATTGAGGAAAAAGGGAGAAGAGTTTGGGGAAGTTGGAGCCCGTGTACTTACTTCTAAATTGCATTGAACTTCTAGTTATATATCGAAAATCCTTTCCTAAAAATAACTGCTGTCCATCCAGTAACTTAATGACTCGCAAAGTGTTTCTTAGTCTGCTCGGTCTCGATCTCCTAGTAGCATTTCATGCCTCTTCCTTCCCCCTCCTCTTCCCCCCCCCCCCCCCCCCCCGCCTTTTGAAACGATGGGAAAATGTGGCTTTTGGATTTGGACTAATTTTTCACCAGCGATAAACGGGCTCTTTTCTGTAACAGAGTAGATTATTAGAGACTTGTGATTTGCAGTTCGCATTTGCCATCAAGATCACAGCAGGGGAAAAAGAGACTGGAGTCTAAACTAGCTTCAGTAATTCCTGTTCACAGGTTTCATGTGCAGATGGATAAAAAAAAAAAACCGCTTTTGGAGCAAACTTGCTAGAATGTAATATACAGTGACTTCAGAAAGTGCAATAAAATCAATTAATGTTGCAAAAGCATTGGCCAAAAAGAAAGTGGTGAAAGGATTTATGGAAATGTAATGGATTTATAGGCATTTACCCTGTGACTTGATAAACAGCAATGGGAAGCCGAGATGGTGAAAATAATTAGTCCCGCAGCCTCAGTGAATATGGACAATTTATTATTATAATTTTATCCTTTCAGTGGTTATTCAAATTTATTTTTTAATTTTGTGATCTGAAGCACAGGGGGATTAATCTAAAGTTTGGGCTTGGCTTCTTCGGGGGCTGGGTTTCCTCTCCTGACACTTTCTCTCTTTGCAAAGCAAGGAATGATCTGTCATTTGCCAGGGCTTCTCCACACAGCTCATTCTTAGTTTTTCTGCATGTATTTTAAGGACTATTATCATTGGCCTTAAAAAATAGTTTGATCCAGCTGATGACTCTTTGCCTCCCTGTGCACCAGGGATTTCTCTCCCTTTTGATTTTTGGACGTGTTTTCATGGATGCTTTGAAGCACCGGGGTTGTGTAGTGGCGGCAGAAGCATGCCCTGACTCTGGAGCAGAACTGGCACCGAAAACTTTTCTGCTTGCTCTCAGAAGTTTGTAGCCCTCTTATTACAGCAGCAAAGAGATGTCTAACATGGAGTAAATATTACAATTTCCAGAAGTCAGAATTTATTACAGTTAAACTGTGATAAGATCCCATCTGTTATGAACACATGTAGCACCAATTGTTTTTCATACAACTGCAATTTATTTACCCTTCAGAGAGAATGAGATTACAAGTGTGATTAAAAAAAAAAAAAAGTACATCAACCCACAACACAACGGTTGTTTTTCTGTTTCGTCCGGCCTATCTGTTTTCATCTGGCTAGATCCATTTACGCTGCAATACTTTCCCTAGGATTAGATCGGCGATTCCCTCTGTCCCAAACAAGCGATTTTTATCGTGCTAAGGACCTGCACGTCGGATGCCGGCGGAGGTGATAGCGGTGAGCAAGCGGCCGCCGAGGCCTGGCCTCGAGCTCCGGGGCAGGAGCCAAAGCCTTGTCCGGCGCCCTCCGTGCCCCGTGGAAGGCGGCTGCTCCCAGCGCTGCCCCTTGCCTCTTCCACGGACCCGGCAGCGCCGCCTGGCGGGAGGAGGGAGCCCGAGCCAAACCTCGCAGGGCCGCAAAGACAAAGAGAAGGAGACTTCTGTTTTCCCCGGGCAGTTGAGCTGCGCGGCTCTACGAGCCCGCGTGAATCTCCATGTAAAATGTGCCATGCTCTGGCCTGTGCTTCAGCAGAGCAGTAATCTTTAACTGCAACGAGAACCTAAAACGATGGAGGGGGAGGGGAGATTTTGTGTTTCGGTCGTAGTAGTTTAGGAGCAAAGAATGTGCCTGCTCGTTGTCTTACCCCATCCCACAGAAGTGGTTTGGATCAAGGAGCACACGCTTCACGAAGTCAAGCAGGAAAGATGAAGCACTTGGCTAAAAGAAACAAACTAACAACAACAACAACAAACCCAACAAAAAACAACCCCAGAAAAAACCTCCCACGTTCTTACTGTGATAGCCTAAGAACCGTAATCTAATTTTGTTCTCTTTCAAGCTGTTTCAAGACATATATGTGTGTCTGTATATGTGTATATATATCCTCCAGGTTTCAGTGGGCGTCTTTCTGCTGCTCTGTTATCATTATTTCATGCCTTGATGTGACGTTGAAGACAGATGACAGCATTGTCAGGTTGTCTTTAATTCATTTGAAGATTTAAAAAAAATACACACAAGGTTTCTTACAATATTCAAAGCCTGAACGGATTTACTTTCACATAGGGGATGGGGTGGAGGCAAGGGGGGAGCGGATGATGAATTTCAGACATGTAGAGAGAACAAAGTCTGTGCATTGCTCTGCACGCACACACGCACAGAACAAGCGGCCAGAGGTGGGATTTTTGCAGCAGCAGCACCTGGTTGATCTTGATGGAGAAATACCCAGTATTAGAACAGTCTTGTCGCGTTTATGCACAAGTCCAAGTGTATAATCTGCTCAAATTTCAACCTCGTGACTGCTGCCAAAGCATTCCACCTCAAAAGACGTTGGAGATACGGACCCAGGGCCCGTCTCTTTTCTGTTGACACTGGTTTTTACTGCAACAAAATCTTACCTTACAAAAAAAAAAAAAAAAAAGGCAATCTGCCCCTAATTTCCTAGGACTGAGCTGAAAGAGAGATTCAGCAGGGATTAGACACCTCCGATCAGGACTGATCACTTGCCTGCCGCAGGACTGTTCGTGAAGCAGTGTGGGCTGTGCTTCGCTGTGCAGGGAGAATCGGGGTGTGGGGAAGCACATGTTGGGATTCGAAATATCAAAAAACTATCCCCGGAATCTGATTGGGAAGGAGACTTGATGCTGGTAACATTAGCGATTTTCCAACTTTATATTAGATCCTTTAAGAAAAAAAAAATCCAACAAAACAACAACCCCCCCTCTAAAAAAAAAAACGCACAACCATAAGCCGCCACCACCACCCAGAGAAAGGAGCACAAAAAAAAACCCCAAACACCCACCCCCCCCAACCGCGCTCTACTGAAAACCTGTAGCACGAGCCAACAGTATTACAGCAAGGCAGCATTTCAACATTGCTCTCCGTCTTTTCTAAATCTGAAAGAATGAAGTTTGACCCATGTTTTTACAGACTAGGAAAGCACATGTGGGGTTGTTTCGGGAAGCCTGGGCCTTTCAGGGACCCACTTGCCTGTATGATTTCGATTGTAGGTGTGATCAGACCATTGCAAAGCTGGGATCAGAGAGCGGAGGCTCAGCCCAGCCACCGTGCTGCGCGTACCTTGCTGGCTGCTAGGAGGGTACCTTCAGAGACAGCGATGGGCAGCGGGTGACTTCCCGCTCTTAGAAAATGGAGCCTCTTATCACTGCGGAAAATTTTCCCGTCTTTACGGCATCCCGGTATTTTAGCTCTAGCTTACGTTTTGCATTCTAAAATCAGGCAAGCAAAATTATACGTATGTGTTTGGAGTGGACATGTACGAATAAACCAAGATACATATGCCCATATAAGCTCAGATATATTACAGAAACTCCTTTGCTGTCTGTGGAGTTCGGTGTTTTATTGTTTCATGAAACGAGCATCATTACATTTCCCCGTAGATAAGATAAACAGAACCTTTCTTTTCTAAGCGTTGCTTATCAGAAGTATTTTGTCGAAGTGGCATCCAGCATAAGCCTTTGAGAAGGGATGGAAACGCATTTTTATTTTAGTTCTTTAGTTCCACTTAGCATCTGACAAGAGTTGATTTAAATATTACATGCGTTTAATGTTCAAAAAAGATCTGTGAGAAAGAAGAAACAGTTTAATTTAAACTAATGTATGCCTGACTCTGGTCAGATTGATCAGAGTTTCAGGTTTTGATGGGTTTTGCCCTTCTGTTGCTTGTCCTCTCGAGCTGGTTTTTCACTGTGAAATTATTTTAGTTCGGTGGCATGGACCAGCGGCTGCTGTCAACTCCACGACCCATCCAGTTAGTAAGAACAGGGAGGGGGTGGGGGTGGGGGGAAATAACAATGCGTCCCTTTTACCTAAAAACATTAATGTCCATAAATCAATCTGTATTAGGACAAAAAAGCAAATTTCCTAGATTAATATCAAAATCCTAGGTGACACTTGCCAGGTCAAATACTTAACAAGCCTGGAAGAGAGACCTCCTTACCACCAGTCTACATATAAAATAAGCTATGTTAAATTTTTATTAATCTCAGGGACAGTATCCGAGCAAAACAGTAACGTTAACGTTAAGCGTTCAGTTCATCATTCGCATCAGAAATCTTCACGTGTGTAACTTTTCAGAGCTGATATGCACAAGACTGCTATTAGTGCTCCAGGACACAGAAAACCCTCTCGGCTCTTTTTAAAGTAGCTCCTGCACACCTGGTGGATAACACCAGCGAGGGCTGGGCTGCAGCTGTTAGGGATCTGTATAAAGTGTAAAATACGCGAGCAGAAGAGGCGCGTGTGCGGCGGTGGTGGTTTTCAATCGTGGCAAATCTGTAATAGTTGCTCGCAAAAGCAGATGGAGTCTGAAATGTAATTTTCTTCGAACTAGGTGTAGTTGAAACAGCGAAGCGGGGTGGGCAGGCCGGCCGGGGGCTGCTTGCTTAATCGGCCTTTCCCGGGCTCGCTGGTTAAATCCTCTGCCACTATCGCCCCCACCCCGACCCGCAAAGCCCGTCTTTCGCCTACTTACTGCGTTTGTATCTGCTTTCTGTTTTATTATTAAGTTTACTTGGTGCAGTTAGCAGTGCTGCCTTCATCTCCCTTTCTGCAGCTCAGCGGTTCATAACGAGTGCTCGATTTACATTCCCTAAAGTGGAGATACGCAACGGTCCCTTTCACGGTTAAGTGGGGGGAAAATAAATTTATTTTAAACACAGAGCATTTCCCGCTGTCTGATCAGCGTCCCAAAAGAGCCGCAGCGGGGCCCAGCACCCGGCGTCCCCATGCGCGTCCCGGCCCCAGCTTCTGTCCCAAGCCCGGTGCGGCCCCGGTAGGCGCGCCGCACCGGGTGCCGGGACAGCTGGGCAAGCGCTGGAGCTTCATTAGCCTGCTGATTTTCTCTCCTTTTGCACATTAACGCTAACTTCCACTAATTATCTGGAGTAAATGCATTAGGCTAATTAGCATCTGAGCACCACGGGAAACTTTGAACAGTAATTATATTGTGGGGGATACAGAAGGCGGGAGAAAACCCAGCGATTTGTAAAGTTCCCGCTTGCAACTTTTCCCCCTGCTGGAGCGTCGCGCTGGGGCCGGGGAGAGGGCAGCCCGCAGCGGGGAGAGGGGCCGGCCGAGGGGCAGCAGGTACTCACCCTGCCTGGGCCGCCCTGCGAGCGTCTGCCACGCCGTGGGAGCGAATCCCTTGGCTGGCATTGCCTTCAAGGGCTTGGGTATCGCTTTTCCGACTATCTCGGCGGCAGCGGTTAGTTCCGCAGTCGCCGTAGCTGCTCTGGCTTTCCCGTCGCAGCCCCCGCTCCTACCTGCGTGCAGGACGAAGAGCCGGAGTCGGGCGGCGGCCCCGGGTGCTGGGAAGCCCGGGCTGGGGAGGCAGAGGAGCGGCGCAGGCAGGGGCAGCCCTTCTCGGCATCACGTCGAGTTTGGCACCGCACTTGAGCAAAGAGCAAACTCGAAACAAATAACGGATGGACTTCGTGGTTTGCCCCTTCCTTTTTAAAATAAAATGAGTTTTCAGAGGGGTCCGATTTTTAATTTTTTTTTTTTAATGTGATGATCGTTTGTGCTGCAGTAGGAACTGGAAAAAGAAATTGAAAATAACTGGATGAGATCAAACAGCGCTTCCCTAATTGCTTCTGAACTTCTCATTTAGAAAAAGAGACGAATAGTTATGCATTACACTGTAAAAAAAAGGCTTTCAGATAATCTCCTTACTCTTTTACAAATACATCCTGCCTTCCCCGTTTCTTTCTAAAGAAAGAACAAAGTCTTTTAATTGAAACCCAGATTTAGAAAACAGGTTTTCACAGTAAAAACGTTAAAAAAATGTTAATCTTCCTTAGGAAAGTGAAAGAGATTTAACTGATTCTCAGTTTTCCTATTTCATCCCTGTGAATTCTACTGAAGAGAGAAAAAAAAATACTCCTGTCTGATTTTTTTTTTTTTTAAGAGAGCCCTGGGGTTATAATAAAAAAATTAAATAAAAATAAAAAACCCTTTGGTTTTTATTTTAAATTTTAATTAAAAGTGAATAAAAGATTAAGGAGAAATTAGCAGTTGCCTCCATCGAAGACCTTACTTGGGTTTTAGAACAGAATCAAAGAGTATTTAAAAAAAAAAAAGTAAAACCTCTTAATACATCAAATATACGGAATTTTAATCTTTAAAGAGATACATTGTCTATTTTAGTACATGACGTAAACCTTACTTAACCCTTTTTACAGGGTGGACTTAAAAATTAAAAATAGTTAAGTGTTCCTTTTAAAGAACAAAATAAGGCAAATGAGGTTTTTGGAATAGAATTGTTTTTGTTTTTCTTCCAGAATACATACAAAAAAATACCAATTCTCTTTCAAGGGTATACACCTTAAAAATAATTGCAATTTGAAATTATAACTGACAAATTGCGAGTTGTTTTTTAGTAACAAACATGCATGTAAATTTTTTTGTTTCAGTGAGACATTAAATAAGAACGTACAATACAATCATAGCAATTTTAAAGTAACATTAAAGAGAAGACCTCTATCTTTTTATTTATATTCTACAATGGGTGTTCCACTTTTACCTATTGAGCTCAGTTAAGTAATGCACTTTATGATTCGTTGTCCCGCTTGAAGCTAACATAAATAAATACAGTGCTCACGGATCCAGTCCTCAAATGAACACTATTTTATAAAAAGTCTGATTTTTGTTTTTGTTTTTCTTTGCAACTTTTATAAAGTTTTGCAGGGCTTCCTTCCCTCACTGCTAGACTCTGTGTTGTGTGTGAAAGCCCCGCTGCCTGTGCTCACTGGTACCCCAGGGCCGAGGCTGTGGTGAGTCTCTGCCCGTAGAGTGCATAAGGGGAATAGTAGGGTCCGGTGGCGGCGGGCACGGGCACAGGGGCCCCGGGGGTGGGCAGGGGGCTCTTGGAGTACGGGTGGTAGCGGCTGCCGAGTCCCAGTGCATGGTGTGGGCTGCGCAGAGCCAGCGTGCCCGGGCTGCCCGGGGCGCCCGTCGTAGGGATGTGCATGTGACATGCCATGGCCGCTGCCGCTGCGCTGGCCAGCGACGAGGAGCTGGGGTAGCTGGAGAGGAGTTTATCGGTGCCCGGGAAGGCAGTATGGGTCCGCAAGTGGCTAAGCAGCTCCTCCGAGGTGGCGAAGCGCTTGTCGCAGGGTCCGTTGGCTGACACCCAGTTGCAGATGTGTGGCTGGGGGTCGTTGGGGAGCATGAAGCCGTAGGGGTACAAAGGGTGGCCGGCCAGAGAGGGCGGCGTGGCGCCAGTCAGCGAGGAGTGCACGCTGTGCAAAGGGTGGGTGGGGTAGACAAGGGGGTATCCGGACTTGAGGGCCTGGTCGTGGGCGCAGGAGGCACCGGCGGCTCCAGCCAGGTGGCTGGCACAGTGGTAGCTCAGGCAGTAGGGGTCTCGGCACAGGCTCGCCGTCATCACCGACGGCGGCGACGCGCCCGCCAGCGGGCTCGACCCCGCCGGCTTGCTGCAGCCCAGGCTGCTGGCGGCAGCCAGCTGGGCCCCCACCAGGCTGGAGGATTTGGTGGGGTCCAGAGCCACTCCGTGCGGCAGGAACTGGGGCGGGTAGCCGGCGTATGCTCCAGCCAGCGTCCCCGGGTAGCTCATGCCCGCGGGGGGCAGGGGGAAGACGGTCTGGCCCGGCTTGTATGGGGAGACGGGGGCCACGAGACCGGAGCCCAGGACGGAGGTGGAAGAGGTGGCGGTGGTACTGCTACAGGAGGAGGCGGAGTCCGAAGCGATGGGCTTGGAGCCCGGCGTGCTCTCCTGGTGCTGGTTGACCTCCACGTTAATCCCGGCACAACTCACGCTAATCCGGCTGTGGCTGATGCTGGTGGTGCTCGGGCCTCCCTCCGAACCGGAGCTGCCGCTCTTTCCGCAGCCCTCCGAGTCCTTCTTGTCCTCTCCGCCTTTGCCCTCGGTCGGCAGCAGCCCCGGCGAACAGGCGGAGGCGCTGGAGTTGGGACTGCCTGTCCTTGGGGTGAACGGCTGGCAGGTGGCGCTCGGCACCCGGAATCCCGACTTCTCCCCGGCCGCGACCCCCGCGGCGGGGGCGCCCGCGCAACCCGCCGCCCCCGGCTCCTTCTTCTCTGCGCCTGGTTTCGAGTACGGCTTGAAGCTCGATTTGTCCTCCACGCCGATGTCGCTGAGCTTCAGGGGCCCCGACTTGGAGTCCTTGTCACCTCCGGAGCCATTGGAAGTGACCGATGAGAGTTTGGAGGAAGGCGACGGGTCCGGCTTCCCTATCTGCGAGCAAGTTTGTGCCAGAAGTGCCAGGGGACTCTTCTTCGCATCCAGCTGCGGAAATGAGAAGTACAAAGACAGAGGTTTAATCAGGTGCCGAGAAAAAGCCCGGGACGTACCTAGGACGCTTGTCCCATACGGTTTTGCCGAGAATATCTTGGAAGTAGTGAACGATTTTGAGCGCATTCATCCCCCTGACATCTCCGTCCCCTGCATGCACCATTTTCCACAAAGCCTTTAGAAAAAGCTGGTGCTTTTAGTATCCCCGCGAGCCTAACGCGGCCGCCTTCAGGGTCCGCTGCTTCCCCCGGCAGCGGTGGCAGCCCGGGCAGCGCGGCGCTCGGGTTCTCGCCATTCACCTCCCCGCCACTCCGGCCCTGTGGGAGGACAAACCGCCCGTAGACTGGAGCAGCTGCGGCATTTCTGCACCCTTACTGCTGACACTATTTATAAACAGAGCCCGAGTTAGCCGGCTCCAGGGGAGAGGGGCATCCTCGCTCCGCAGAGACCGTAATGAAATCATTCATCCCCACGGACACACCCTTCCCACCACCCGCTCCCTTCGAGTTTTGGTCCCGCAAAGAGCGAGTTATGCGCAGGGGGACCGACAACCTCTACAAGAGGAGAAAAGGGACGAATAGGGCCCTTGAAGTACAAGCGCGTGTCGGTACTTGAAAGGCAACGGTGGGGGAGCTGAAATAGTTATCCTCCTGCCGCACCCAGGCGTGAGCCTGTTCCTCTGCTCCCCCCCCCCCCCCCACTCCCCTAACAGCTCCCTGCAAAAGCAAGATTGTTTGGCACTCGGAGCACTGTTTCGTTGTGTGGCCTGATCGTGACCCCTAAACGAGTGGTTTCCCTACACTCACCCTCCTCTCGGAAAAAAAAAACCAAAAACACAACCCCCCCAAAAAAAATTAAAAAAGCTTAAAAAAAAAAGTTAATTTACACAGGAACGAGAAATTATCCCAGTAAACATGAAAACAACAGGAGCGGTTCCTCGCACTAACTCTAGATCAAAGCAGTCCGTTTCCCGCTGCAGGCGCGTTTTAAGGCGCAGGACGGTGCCGAGGGAGGCTGGCGGGGCCGCCATGTACAGCGAGAGCTGAGCGGGGAGGGGAGAAGGAACCAGGGCCGGCTCCGAGAGGTCCTTACCTCTATGGGGCTGACGGGCGTGGAAGGTAGAGGCTGCAGGTACTCGGGGTGTAAAATGTGTCCAGTCCGCGCCGTGAGCATTTTCAAGACTTTGATGGGAAGGCGGTTGGCTTGGCGTAGCGGGTCCGAGGGGGGGACGGCGTGGAAGCAGGGCTTGGCGGCGGCGCTGCTGCCGTTACTCCCAGCGTGCCCGTTCGGCCCGGCGAGGTCGGCGGCGCTGCGGCTCCGGCGGGGGCTGCCTCCCGGCTCGCTAAGGCTGCTGCTGCGCTTACTACTTCTTATAGCAGAAAGCGAGGGCGATGTGATCATGACCCAAAACCTCTCATG